TTCATTTATTGAGTTGACGAATGAATAAAATTACTGGTTTCTATGGAAATATTTATTAAATATGTATAGGTAGTTGAGACATTTAAATTCCTTACAATGTTGAAGCCAAATTTAGAATAAAAACCAAAGTATTTAAATTGAGCTTCCAACAGAATGCGCTGACGATTGCTGGTTTAGAGCTATGGCTACAAAAGCAACTTGTAAAAGCAGCTTTCTCCAATTCAGTTTATACCTTGGAGATAGTTTGAACTTGAAGATAACCCCCGGTTTGTTTTCCATACTGTTCATGGCAAGTTTAAACTTACATTTTTTAACAACACCTAACTTAACTGCAGCGTATTCGTCCCTGTATCATTGTTTGTATCGCTTAGCAAGGTGTTGAGATGAAGCAGGTCAAAGCCTGTCTCAGGTGTTAGTGGATGTAAAGAACGGAAACGGAGTGTTAGTCTCGGTGCCGCCCCTAGAACTAGGGTGACATAGATACACTTGACCTCACCACTCCAGCCATGGTGGTAGAGATACCGTGTTTAAAATCGCAAAGAGTACTTTAAAACTTGTGGAACATAGAGGATTCTACCATATTATGGCTGGGTAGCCGAGTGATTTAGTGCTCGACTAACAATCAAAAGGTCACCGGATCGATCCTGAGAAAAGTCAGTAGCTTTTGATAGTTCGAAACTGGACACAGCTGTTCCTGATCATCGATTGTGCTTTGAAAAAAATCATCCTGGCTAATGAAACAGCTAATCTTAGTCAGAAACAAAGATCACCTCACACCATTCTACACTCATCCTTCGCTCATATTTGGGTCAAAATACGCACCTAGGTAGCGTCCCCATCAATTGATAATGATAATGATATTTAAGCCATTCATTTTGGATATTGGTGTCTGGTGACAGTCTTCTATCTCGCTCTAATGTAAAATCAGTCACGTGTTTTTTTTGTGTGTTTCATGCACGGTTCCGTTTGAGTATGTTAAAGTGGAATATAAGTTTTATTTTGGAGTTTCTTCATGGGAGTTTTGAAATTCCCACTTTACTCTCTGATCATAATGACATAGGAGAAGACACGTGTTATAAAAGTTTTATCTAGTTAAACTACTATAATTTATGAACGAATTGAAACGATAAAATTTGAAAATTATCACTTTACAGAAACCGGATGTGAAGCAACTAACCTTCATAAAAAATAATAAATATATAGAGTATGTGTTGTTATGCTACTATTTAAAACATGAGGCATGATTCATGTGTCTGTGTCTTTCATGACCGGTTATGTTTGGCACTGCTGATTTCGAGTAAATAGTATTCTCTTATTATTTCGACAAACTATGCAGTGTACACTTAACTCTTTGTTTATGGTACCAAATGTCTGGTATTATTTTAAAGATATAGCCTACAATTTTATTTGGTGAACATGGGTTTAGGGATGCTAATAAAATCAAAAAATAATAGGAAACATCAGCATACACAACTACAGACATTTTACAGAAAAAAAACTATTTGGGTAACTTAAATTAATTACAAATTAAGTTATTGTCTTTAAGTACAGTATCACCAAGATACTAATACCCCCGCCGCAGCAAACCTGCAGACTAAGCGAATTTCCATTTCCCTGAATGGATTTACACTAAAATGTCTCCTTAAAATTATCACATTTATTCCCTATTTAAATAGAATCAGTTTAAAACATACTTAGGTTTGCTGCAACAGGGAGGGTAAAAGTGTTTTTATGTAAAATGTTAATAGTTAGTAAGAAATAAAAACATTTTCCAAATTTGGGCAAAATATGTTAATAAACAAGCAAACTACAACAGTTTACTTATTCTCCATAAGAATAACATGGGAATTTTAAATTTACAATTTTTTGGAATTTTCTCCGTAACCATTAGGCGCATTATAACGCTTCAATATACTAAATTATTTGTTTTTTTAAGCTCTACAAAATAGTTTCGAAAGAAATTGCAAAATTGTATGTTTTTTGGGTCAAAAATGGGAAAAACCCATTTTTACCCCATAAAAGCCCCCATAAACCCCCGTTCCCATGGTCCGATCATGCTGGTTCGCGAACTCGTTCGAATACACGTTTGTACCAAATTTCATCAAAATCGGATCATTTTTGCTCGAGTTATCGCGCTAACGGACACACACACACACACACACACACACATATATATATATATATATATATATATATATATATATATATATATATATATATATGTATTTGAACGGATGGTGTTTTTGACCTCTAGAGACCTCAAAACGAAAAAAAAATCGGTCCCGGGTCCAGGTCTTACCATGAGTACTACGGTAATAGCTTATTCCCTATATGAGAAATTCGCTAAAACAATATTAGGCTGGGAAATTCGCTAAAACAATATTAGGCTAAGTTTATTTCCCGTAAAGTGTAAGCATTGTTGTCGTTTACTGGAAGTTGTTGGTATGTCATGCTAAACATTGTTGAAATGAAAGCCTCAGTGTAGTACAAGCAAACTAAAAAAACTTATACAGGGATCGTTAAAAAAATTGCAAGAAAACGTTTTATGGTTTTATTTTGTAGCGTTGGGTTTAGAGAATGACATAACGTAAGGTCCAACATTACAAAATAAAACCATAAACCGTTTTCTTGCAATTTTTTTAAGGTCATATCCTATATTTCTCTGACTAGTGTTCAGTTTCTAGAAAAATTCTCTTAATCTCTACATAATAGTCCGTAGTTCAATTGTTGGGCCAGTAGTGCTATGCATCTAGAATAACAAGGGAAACAGTAGTATGCAAATAGTTAGAATACGTCTGGTTTGGTTGTCTTTCCCTTTCTATTGGAGATAAATGTTTAGAATACGTATTCCAGCAACGTCATCATACTTGGCTTAGGTTTAACAAGTAGCTTTAGAGGAAAAAAATGTCCAGAATAAAAACGTTTTTAAATTGCATTTACTTTCTAAAACAAACATAAAATATAGAGTCTTCCAAAAGAATAATGAAAGTTTTTCTGCCACATTGAAAAAATGGCGCCTTAAATTATTTCTTCAACTTGACCGAAGTTTGTTAAATAAAAAACCGAGGCAGTTACAATTTAAAGGCGCATTTACATTAAATCGAGCTCGCATTCGAGTTCATGGAATGCGAGTGACAGTGAGTAACTATTCGATTATCGAATGACGGATCGAATTTTTACCTGATTGTATTATTCGCATTATTGAAATTGGCTCCCAAGAACGTATTAAATAAATAACAATCATCAAGCAATTCTTGTAAAATAAACATATAGAGTTGATAAGCAAAATATATATACATTACGGTTATTTTTCTTTCGACGAAGACATATGCGTAGTTTTTAAATTATAGATTTTTCTGAATCCCAATGAAAGTTAATATACGTGTAAATGAAGATATTACTGTTACTGATTTAACTTCTAGGACTCAATATAACGGGTTGTTTTACTAAAATAAATTCTTTAATCTTAAATGTAGGCCCTAATTATGTTTTAGGTATTAAAAAAAGAAAAAAAAACGACGAGAGAAATATTTAAGAAACTTCAACACTATAAAGGCTGATAGGATTGTATTAATTATTGACTGATTATTCTTACAAATAGACAGTCTGATTTACTAAATAGGCTACGTTTTCCATGAAGTGAAAGAATGAATATTGAACGTAGTTTTTCCAAATGTGAACACACATATTACGTTTACTGTACAAACAATAACAAATAAATCCAAGAGTAGAATGTAGTGTTTTTCATTTACATTTTAACCTAAATTAAATATTTGCAAAAATGTTAAAGACACGTTTTAAGTTAAAAGGGGGTTTTAAGCATCAAAAAGTGATTCGAGGAAATAAACTATTTATATTTTTTTACCATACCTTAGGAATCACTAAACTAACAACTATCTCTTCCAAATCTTGTATAATCAATAGTATAAACGTTGCATTATTTGTAGTTTTATCTGCGCCTTCAATATTTCAACACCGTATGCAACACACTGATGCAATGACCCAATGTGCAGGAGCTGTGAGAAATCCCATACAGCAGTAGCTCAGTCCAGCAGGGTTTCAGCTCTCTGGATTGGAACGTCACGAAAAACGAACATATGTTCACAGAGAAAACTTTGATAGCGACAGTGAACAAAAACATTTTTCAAGAATTGTAACTTGAATTAACAGAAACCGTTTCAACATTGATAGAACCATCCTAACTAGAAAATTGAGCGTGAAACGATAAAAAATAAAAACAATTATTATTTAATTTTTCACTTGCTTAACACACAAATTCTATATTGAGATTTTGCTGTTGTAACTCCTTTTGTAATTTTGTTTCCTTATTGATGAGTTTTCATTTCCTACAATATTTTCCATTTTTCTCCTAGCAGGTTGTTTATTTTACTAAACTCAAAAGGGATTAAACAAAGTAGTATAAATTGTAATTTAATTGTCAAATTAACAGAAAAATTAACGTTACTAAACCCACTGCCTGTTCATATTTTTGGGATAGCATTACATTTGTCATTGTCTATATATAAAAAAAAACTATAAATGCTACACTTTTAATTATAAAATATTTTACAAAAAATATTGATATACTAAATCATTTAATATGCTCAATTAGCTTTAATTAAGTAATTAAAGGCCTACAGAAAACAATCATACTACCATTGGTGGCATTCACATAAGACCTACTAATGGAAAAAAAAACATTTTACTATTATACCTAGAATATTATTTAAGTTAGTTAGAATATTATTTCATTAAAGCCACTAAATAAAACAATACAATAAAAAAGATCAGAAATTACAACAAACTAAACTACCATTAAGTAATAACCAAACTTTTGGAAAATATTAATTAGAAAACAGATTTCCTGCAAATCTGTTTCAATGAAAGAAAAATGAGTTCCACCAGGGGTTGTGTTGAAAGAAGGGTTGTGAGAGGTTTAAAGTGCTTCAAGTGTGAAGGGCAGTTATAGGGTTGTGATGAAGAGGGATGAACAAACTCAGTTAAACACGAATACATCAGTTTACTGAGATAAAACATACATTACACAGCATAACACACTAATATCATAGTGAAACACCATCAAGTGATACAATTGACTATTATTTATGTGTTCTGTAATCATTTACTGAGAGGGTTGCCATAGATTACTGCTTGAAGAGGAAATTTATTGAAAAGGGATAGAGTTTGGCTAGGTTATCTGAGAAGATTTAGAGTCCAGGTAGTAATAGATTTACAGCAAAAAGTCACAAAATAAATAAAACACTGATATTTCATCTGTATGAAACCTCTTCAGTAAATAGGTTGAAGAGAAAAAATACCCAACCTTTGAAAAAGATAGATTCTCTTTAGAAGTCCAATATTAGGATAAAATACATCAGTGTTAGTTTTCTTGTGTCTATTAATCCTGGGACTCTAAGAAAAGGATCCTAGGACATAAATAAATACCAAATTCTGAAAAAAGCCCTACTATAACATCTTTAAGCTCCTCTAAATGTTTAACGTAAAACTTGAAAATGTAAAAAAACACTAAATAAAATAAACAATTATAACAGGTATAATTTTTCTTTAGTGAGACAAATCACAATGGTAATTTTAACAACAAGATGTAACTTATAAAATAAAATTAGATATCATGTGAATCCTCTAAGTTTATAATTGCTTTCACTCTACTTAATATGGCAGCCCTATTCCGAGATAAATTGATTAACTAATGATAACTGCTTTGTGCAATTCACTTTAACACATACAAAAACGTATTATATTACTGTATATCTCAGTACTGTACATATATGCTATATATGATCAGAATACATTTTTACACTGTTAATCATGCAAAACATTTAAGAATAACTATAACCTATAAATATTTATATAACTAATAATACACTTACGCAAGATTAATAAGTAACAATATGACAAATTTTATATTGAGTAATGTTACAAATAACTGTGCTATTTAAATCTTACAAATACAAAGCTGACTGAACTGGAATGTTTCTAAATTGAAACAAAAATAAACGTAAAGTAGTCAGTCTAATATTTATAGTTCTAAACTACTTTCTTTCGTTTATCACAGATTCATTCAATAAGCATTCTTAATATCATTATTAGGCCTACAATGAAGGTGAAATATAACCACCTAAATCCAAACCATAGGCTTGAAGCCATTATACAATTTTTATTTCAGAATATAATTTATACAAATTAAGATCTTTAAATGATTAGTGATTTTATTGATAAACATAAAAACATTTTACTATTTGGTTTGTTAAATTAAACCGTTTATAGCATAGCTCAATATTTGTTTCATGCACGACTTTCAGTGAAAACCAACACAAATGATGACAAAATCACTCGACATTTAAAAGCAAATGTCTGGTGGTAAAACATGTGACAAAACTTACCTTGACAATACTGTATCTAACAGAACAGTGAATGTAGTCAAAATAGAATATCTCTTATGTTTATATCACTAAAATACATTATGATAAAACTTTCTCCCTTATATCTAAACATATGACACCAAAGACTTAGAACGGAGATTTGAGAATTATTTAATACTCTTCTTCAATACCATTGTAGAAATCATCTGACATCAAAACCATTATGGTAGTTTCCAAAGGTAGTTTTTCTAATTTCAGTTTACAGATAAGGTAAGCATAATTAATGTTTTGGAAAATTGAAAGTTGTGCATTTCAACAATGTGCCCCCGATATAAAAAATATTTAAAAATCAGATTAGCAAATGTTTATCAAGGGAAACCTTTAAAAATATAAGTTGGAATAAGATGGGTTGAAGGGCTGATTTTTAAGGGGATTCACAACTGAAAATAATAAGTGTACAAAAAACTAAAAATTGTTTTTATATGAATAAATAAATAAAAAACTAAGTGTTACCAACAATTTATACAGTCCAAGCTTTACTAGCCCAATATTTATAATTTAGGTCTGATTTTATAAGCCAAAAACTCAATAACAAATTTAGGTAGTAATATAGAATTATTGTAACAATAAGATAAGAAGTAGTAATTAACATATTTTACCATTTAATAATTCTCTAATTTGTTTTAGTAAATTTATACCTTAATTTCCAAGCACTTAATTTCCAGGTTGTGCCAAAGCACAGAGAAGTTAGGTACACAGAAAACATTTAATGGTGTCTAGCACTAGTCACTGGTGTCTAGGGCAAAGTCAAACACCGCCCTCCTTGCCCTCATGTACTACAACGCTCACGGAGGAGGAAGACCCTACGCCATAGGAATTTTCCCTAAGTGTTCGCTGATCAGGTTCTTCCTTGCTCTTTACCAGTATATTTCTGGCACAACATACCGGATACGGTCGTCCCATATGCAAGATTCCTCTGTAGCTTACTTCTCTGTGGCCAGCAGGCAACCATGCAGCAGTACTCTGCACTATGTTTTTTTAATTTTAAAATAATGACAATAATAAATAATGGAATTTTATAGATTCTCAAGAAAAGAACATCTTGATGAACAAACATCTTTTCAAACAACAAATATTTTGAATGATTTTCAGTAATGAATCCCCTTAGTGCCTAAGAAAAAAATCAATAAACTGTACGTTAACCCAAGAACAACTGGGAGAAAGTTGGCAACATACATACAGAGATAAATAGAGATACAGAAGGTTATGAGAAGACGCTGTCACTGCCAGGCGAGGCCAGTAGAGGCTTACGCTCGGCACTGGTCCGTGGCGTAGAGGGAGGGAGAGGCGTACCCCACGGGTGGGAGGACGGGGGGAAGGCCGGTCTGTCTCCTGAGAACCTCTGAGATTGCTTCACCAATCCTGTGACTGCTAGAACTACCCACACTGCGGCTAGGATCAAGTCTGTGGGAGAGACAACAGCTTAGAAACCATCAACAGTAAAAATGTAGAACTAATCATTACCACTAGCTTCTATGGTAAAACACAGGCCAGAGTGAGGCACCAACAGTCTTGTACCTTCAGTCTATTGAGGAGCAGCTCAGGCAGCCGGCGAATGGTCTAAGAGTCATACTGTTGGCTCTACTATTTCCATGTAATGCTTTTTTGACCACGGTGTGTGGCATCTTCAGGAGTTTGTAATTTTATGTTCTTTATACATTATTTACACTATATACACAGATTTACCCTTTCAGTGAACTAATAAAATTTTTATATGTAGATAATTTAAAAAGAAAATATATACAAACTCCCTGAATATGCCACAAGCTGTGGCGAAAATGTTGGAGTAAACTACAAATTCCGCAAGAACAAAGGCTGCCAAACAAGGTACTTACTTACTTTCCGTGTCCGGAAATCAGACTTCGCTTTTCCAAAAATTAGCTACCGATATGGCTTTGTCATTCGCTTGTAAAACAAGGTAACTTAGATAGTTCAATATTTTACTTTTTTGCCACTTGGAAAATAAATCAAATAACATCATACAAATATTATCTTATCCTATAAGTTTGAAACCATTTATATATCCTAGGACGTTGAAACATTGATATTAATGTTTGCAACATAAAATACACTCCAATTCAATCCACTAAATATTTTGGTTCTTCTCAAAATTTAAACAAAGTAAATATTTTCTCCCCAAAAGCACACCTCAGGTCTCAGATCTTATAAGCTGGGACTAAAAGGATAAACATGGAAACTACAAGATACACTATTCATTTGGATAAACGCCAAACTGATTACAATTAGGGATGTTTTTATATCTGTGGGGTCAACATAGGCTGAGTGTGAGCTAGGGGTAGAGGGGTACAAGGGTAGGGGAGGGTGACAATAACTAGGGGAGAGACACAATGACAATGTGGACCATGATTTATCATCTCACTGAATTGATTGGAAACAGTTTATAGTTGCGTAATGACACTCAGCCATTGGCTACAACAGCCGACAGGTTAATGATACACTTCAACCTGTGTTGCAGCTGTTTTGTTGCGTTTTAGTTTTACAAAATTGTTATTGTTTAATTTGATCTGTCACAGTGGTCTGGCATTCATAACATATCAGCTTTAACCATTTGAAACTATTCTTTTGATTTTTCATTAGTATTTCTTTGAAAATGTTGTTTCTCCTATCATGTACATTCTTGACCTTCTTCATGTGATTTTTTTATGTATGAAGAAGTATAGACGAGTTATCTACCATTTACATGATGCACAGTTATATACAGCCTATTCATCCAAAATAATTACAAACTAAAGTAAATTGTTTTTAATTTAATTTTTGTAAGAGTAGTTTTCAACACCAGTGGGTGGCATTGTTCGCAAATATGTTTAGGAGAACCCTGGTCTAATACTATCTAGAGGTTCAAGTATTTAATAGAATACTTCTGGGAAATAAGAAACTACCTCAAGTTTAACCTGAAATAGTATTTAAATATTAAAATGAAAATTGAAAGTAGGCCTAAGTTAATTTTAAATTTTAGGAGATTAAGACTATTTCTTTTTGCAAAAAAGGTATAGAGTAGGGGTAACTTACCTTAATTGACATACTTAATCACAAATCAAGTCAATTAAGTCAAACTTAAAAAATGAAGTGCTAAACAAAATTTTTATGTTATTATTTTTATATTTTTTATTATTTTATTTTTCAACCTGGTGTAGCATACAAAAAATGTTACAAACGAAAGACTTACCCTTCATCTGGAACGGAGGGTCAATGATGGCCTCCCCGAAGCCGGGGACTGTGGCTCGTCGCATGGTGTTGATGAAGATATACTTGAGATTGCCACCCACATAGTGGTCTATGGGGACTATGGCAGCGTACGAGCCAACCACTGCACATGCCACGATGTTGACTATGTCTGGGTGTCGAGCAAACATCAACCCAACCAATATCACCAGGCATGTGAAACACATCCAGTAGTCCATATCATGTACCAGATACGCTTGGTTCACTAGAAAAAAAAAATAGTATGAATAGTCATAGATAAAACATACTCCCTTAGTAGATTAGTCATCCTAATGGAACAGCTGAAGCCAATTTGATTGTTAGTTCTGTACGTCCAACTACATAGGTTATGTTTTGTTTACAATTTGTTTCTTGTTATTGCAGTAATTTAAAACCTCGTTTAACCTAATAAAGCGATATAATCATAAACAATAACTGGTCTCCTAGTTATATAACCAAACAGTAAAGCAAAAATCATGAAAATAACCCTAAAATAATAGAAACAAAATGTTGTCTACACTAGCGATCAGTGTGGACGTACATGAACTAGACGCAAAAAACAAGCTTCAAAATTTACAATGGGATGAGGAGTCTACTTGTGTTGCTTAGTCTATGGAATAATCTAAAAAAATATGTATATTGTAATTTTGATTGCATAACTTGCATCTTTGAATCAAGACGTTTTAGGTATAGGTAAGATCTAAAAACAAACAAAATTAACTTACCTCCTTAGATAAGTACCTACTAACTTTGGCTATGAATAAAACTAAACAATCTATTTCAATGTTAAAAGTAGCAACCAGTTTAGAATAAAAATGTCACTATTTATTCGTCGTTATACGTAACTCTTATCTTGAAAAAAAAACCACAAATTTTTGAGTTAGAGGAAAATAACTGAAAACGTAAATGTTTACAAGAAAAGTAGACTACAATGACACAACTCTTCTTTTGTTAAATTGCATATTAACATCCAGGCTAGATTTTAAACTTGAGTACAATTTATTAAATAAATCAACTAGATTCCAAAGTTGTATTTTGCGAGGGAATTCATAATTAGTTTTCAAAAAACATTTAGTAAATTAATTACTTGATTAGAATTAAAAACTATGGAGGCTTACCTATTGGAAAGTATATGACAACGGAAGCAACCAGGTAGCCTAGTGTAGACAGGGCCATAACAACAGACAGCAACGGGGAGCCAAACACCCACCACAACAACAACCACATACCGGCCAACGTCACTCCTCCCACAGTGGCTATCCCTATGTTGGCTGCAACAACAACAACAGTAACTCTCATTATGTTCTCTAGCAACATAGTTTACATTAATTAAGTAGGTACCCAACTGTGAAAAGACATAAGATAATTTTATTTCCTTTAGAACTCAATTTACATAAGTCATTGGAAAACGTCTTGCTACGTTATAATACATTATGAAATAAATGTCAAAAGATCATTATAAATAAAACAATTCCTTCAACATCATCTGAAAGAGAAAACATAAATATGTCACGTAACAAGGGAAAGAGTACTGTACCTGAAACTCGCCATGCAAAGGGTGAAAGTAAAACATCACACTCATCAAACTATTAGTCAAAAAAGTATTTCATATTCTTTTATTAGTTTAAGAAAATTATCTACACTGTCAAATGGGTTGGCCAGGAGGAGAAATTCCACGTCCCTTTTGAACTGATTGTCTGGTTCATTCAATTGATTGTCAAAAAATGGTTCATAGGTCAAAATCAAGAGATGATAAACAAAACTTTCCCCTAAAAGTCCTCTGTTTAACCAGATATCTACCACTTTTAGTTTGAAAAAGAATATTTTATTTTTAAATATTACTTAACAGAGGGTAGAGCCCTGTTTTAGGAAAAAATCAATAAAACAAATTTTTAATTTTTTATTATAACACATCTATAATTTATCATACTGTATATATATTTTTCTGTAAAATTATGTGTGTGTATATTAAGTGGGGAAAACAATTATTAATAAGTTGCACTGAATAAATTTGATCAACAATTTTCCAATTGTATTAGTACAAATCAAATATGACAAATATTTAAAAACACAGGGTTTTTAAATGGTAATTTTCCTAAATTCAACAATACGTAGGAAAAAGAAAAATCTAAAATTTAGGTACCGGTACAGCAAATATTTTGTTTTATTTGTAGGGTTGTATTTTATTTGTATTGTATATGTTTGTATTTAATCAAATGACAGCCAAAAGTAACTGTTGTTATTGTAGTTAATGATATGAAATGTTCAACAACAAAAACTGATATCTACGCCTCATAGATAATACATGAGTCATGATGACTCATCTGTGTCACCTCACACAATCACTGTACACTTGATGTTTCTAACCAAAACTAGCTCAGTAGCTTCCATTGTTACAATCAAAGTAGGTCTACTTCTTTGATCAAATTTAAATCTTTTCTTCTCACAATAATAAATTTAATATAGGCTGTAGGGTCCGTCTAATTTAAGTTTTAACTACACTTTTCCCCTTTTTTTATCTAAGGTAATTGGTACCTAAAGATTTAAACAATTTTCATTTGAACCAATTTACTCACACGGTAAAGACACTCTCAGAAAGTTAAGCTCAAAGAAGGGTTGAGTCAGAGAGGGGGGGGGGGGGAGGAACACCGTCTAAGCTCTGTGAACGACTCTTTGAAATTAACTGCTCTCCTCTTTTAGATTGCAGAAGCTACAATAATGGCATTGACTTAAAATATTTAAGAAAATCAAGTATTTTAATAGTTTAATCCTAAAATATACTGTTTTTTGAAACTTTTTAATATTAAGGTAAGTTCAATATATCATAGCAAAAATGAGAGTATTCTGCGCAATAATCATGGTCAAGAAGTTGTACAGTATAGGCTATGGTGAAAGTATGCAACCCATAAATATTTACTCTCTTTAAGATTTTTAAGTTCATAGATTGGAAAATGATCAGAAAAATGATTTTTTTTACATTGTCATTAATGTATCAATCTATGAGTCAAAACAGAAGAGCGACTCTTTTTAGGGAGATCGTTCACAAAGCTTAGTCGCTCTTCTGATGCTCTGTCCCAACAGTCATTCATAGAGTGCATTTTACTAAACACCCAAGCTTATACAAATAAAAAGAAAAAAAAATAAATTAATAAACACTCGAAATACCATCTTTGCCCTAAAGATTATACAATATTTGTAAAATATATTCGTTGAACACATACCTGCATCGGACAAGCCGTGGGGTGCTACGATGACATAGGTGATCATACTTCCTACAAGGGTGCTGAACAAGAACAGCTCCGTTTGGAAGAAGGAGTGACCGTAGAAACAAACAAACAGACCGATGAACAAAACCAACGCACACAGCGCTCGTGAGAATGTCGATGCTACAACAGACAAGAAGGGTAACTTAGTTAGATAAACTTATGTTCCAGTTGTGTTTGATTAGTTTACAAACTTTTCATTAGGATGACTGGGAAAACCAGCCCATCAATAATTTTTTTTAAGAAAAAATAAATAGGCAAAAGTCAATGAAGAACCCATGTGCAATTTTAAGGAAATAAGCTCACAGCTGGTCGTTTAAAAGTTGTACCCTTTTAGAAAAAGTGGACATTTTTAAAACTCAAATTTATAGAAACACATGGTCCAATATAGGGGACACTTTCTGAAGAGAAATTTAACTACTATTAACAGAGAAAATTAAAACTATATTTAAACAATTAATGAGGGCATTGATGCATATTTACTCTTACAAAGTTCGGTTCTTATCACTGCATTATTTAAATTACAAAAATGGATGTAACAAGGAGACTGTGCTCAAATTGAACATTTAAATACAGTTCAAAATTTTCCAAGGTAAAATAAATCCACTATTAAAATCCATTTTTAGCCCCTGAGCTGTGATATTAATTAAAAATAGGTATTTACCTTCGTCTACAGCTCAATCTGTTGTAACTTGAGTTACGGCCGTTTCGGCATTATAATGCCATCGTCAGACGTTGAACATTCAGCTGAAGTAGCGTCGTCATAGTTGAAACACGAAACACAAACACGAATAACATTTTACTTTTACAATTAATAACGAAAACACAACAAACAGGCCTGTCGCACACACGGTACCGGTTGACATTGCCACGATCTGAACTGGAAACGGCCGTAACTCAAGTTACAACAGATTGAGCTGTAGACGAAGGTAAATACCTATTTTTAATTAAATCCACTATGTTATGTTTAAATTAAATTTGTTTATTTTTAGTGTACACCATAACAAGGGTGTTTACCTGTTAACAATTATATAAAAAATAGCCTATTTAAAATCCATTTTCATAAATTGTTTTGTATCACGTTTGCCATCTGGCTGTGATTAAACATTCAACAGACAAGGATCAGCTATTAAATTACAATCCCAATTTAAACCGTAATAAAGAAAATGGTCTGTGTCACTGAATGTTTGTAAGGAAACTCTATAAATGCATCAAGCCCAAGTGGGACAAAGTCCTATAGAAAATTAACTTTTCTGTTACCTCTGTTTGTCTTTTTCCGTTAATCTTTTTTTACCTTGTTAGATCATATCTGTATCCATCCCAAAATATCAAGGTGGACCTCCTTGCGTAATGTAATAGGACATAATTTTATATTACCTTTGGTTTATACAATGTAACAAATTTTTACAATGCAAATAAATATTTTAATGCTGAAATGTAACTAAAAACATGTTATAGGCTTTTCATTTTACTGGGTAGGAGAACGTCCCCACCTGAAATTGAATGCTGAGGACGCAATTGCTCCTAAATGATCACAGCCTAGAGTTGGAAAAAAATATTTTCAAAAACCGGTGTTTTAGTTTAAACAATGGAAAAGCTAATTGGTTGGATATGCTGCAACTGAGAGAAAGTAAAAACATAAAAATCAAAGCTCAAGTACTACTTAATCAACAAAAACAGCTAAAATACCATTTTCAAACAATGGAGTACTTTCCAAAACCCATGAAACGTTACTAAGGTCAGAATCTAGCAGTTAAAAGAAATAAATAACACTTACTTAGAACTTGGCAGGTGTCAGTATAGCGTGACGGACTGCAGGTATAGCTGAGAGCAGGAACATACACAGCGTACTGGGCAGAGGAAGAGGACACTACTACAGCAAACACAGAGCCTGTGCCATGGTACGCACTGAACACATGCTTTAGTGGGTTGAATCCAAGGTCAGGTACCTGTGTAACATGTACAGCCGGTGTAGCTCAGAACAAAAACACAGCAAAATCCAAGAAAAAAAGATAAATTTTTGATTATTCTGTGACGTACGCTGGTCTTGTTTTTAAACCACTTAAAATTTGTAAAACCTTTTCAAATAATTTTTTCATCCTACTAATTATTTAGTAATAAAACTAGTAAACAAAATAGTTTATACACACTTTCAAACTTCAAACTCACCTTCCGTGCATTGTCAGTAATTCTCTTGACGGTGAGCATTTTGCTGATGAACTGAAAGTACGTGTCGGAGGTGAAGTCCTTCTCTGGTAGGTACAAGTGGTACGTCTGGTAGTGCAGTACGGGGTCACAGATGCCGGGGGTACCTAGGACAGCAGGTGCCTGTGCTGGGGCACTAGTGACTACCACAGTGGGGCCTGTCACCCCCACCCCTAGCCATGGGGCTACTGGCACTGATGCTTCTATGTTGCAGCCTCCAGGCACTGGGGCTACGGCCACGCAAACCAAGGTATTAGACATTTTTGACAAAGTAGGATTTTTAAACAAATCAGTTTATAATCAGCTTAAATAGAGTAATATTTATTTGTATCACATTCTTGTACATAATCACAGTTTAAGTGTAAATATATTAACTAGGGGGTTTTCCCAATTTATACCTAAAAAAATGATTTATTCAAAATTACCACATACAATTTTAGCCTATAAATTTGTAAAAAAAAACTTTTATTTGACATTTCCATGTTATAGAAAACTGGTGAAATAATGGTAATAGTGTAGTAACAAGTTGCTTTGCTTTTAGCTGTGTTTTGTGACAAGAGGAAATGGAAACATGATAATTATGTGGTTAGGAAATAGTTACACGCCCACTTTAGAATATAGAAATAAAATTCTATAGCACCACTTACTTCTATATAAACAAACTTACTACTAAAAAAAATTAACAGGCTAGTTTCAATCAACAGTGCATAGCTTAATTAAAGTTACTATAAAATTAATATATTTTAATGAAATTCAAACAAAGGTAATTTCTTAACGTTGAGTTATTATCACAGAATATAGACACCTAAAGGTACCTTTAGGTATCTATATTCTGTGGTTATTATTTTTGGAGTCATAATGTAAACAATTCAAAAAGATTGTTTCTTTGACAGCTGATTGGAATCAAATAGATGGTACACTATGTAGTAAAACGTAAGAGAAAATGTGTTCAATATTCTAAAAAACTGGGGTTTTGAACTCTCATTATTTTGTTAGGCATAAATTACACCTGGTATATGGCATTCTAAAACATGTAGTACCGTACAGGGAAAAGAGTTTCTCCTGAATTAAGCAGCGTAAATTTCCATCTTGAACATCGCCGACAGACACGAGTTACAGAAGTTGAGTTAAGACCTGTATCACCTTTTTTTGTAGTGAAATGTAAAAATAACCAGAGTTCATGGTTTGTTAAGATATTTTTTTTAAATCATACATTTTCTAGATTTTATAAAAAGAGCTTTAAGTAACCTTTTCATTTAACCTACAGAAGATTTAAGATTTGCTTACCATTTTTAGTGTATGCCACAATAGTCAACAAAGCTGTGACATTGAACGGATTCTCATTCAGTAGAAACAGTTGAGCAGTTTCAGCCGAAGTAACGTTTTGCATAAGCCCAATGTTTTGTCCAGTCACATATTTGCCCTCTACCTTCTTTATGGTGTAGCTAAGCGTAACGTTGTGAAGATACACATGAGTTTGCACAACAATGAATTGAGCCCAGTCCGGGATATATTCTGCGTGGATGTAGTAGTCCATGTTTGCTTGTAATTCATGTATCTCTTCAACAATTTCTCCATCACCAATTGGGCTTTTTAAACTTTTATAAGACAGCAATATTTCTTTAGCTAAAAGTAAAATAGTAAATTATTTTAAGAACATGAAAATTGAATACAGGTATAGTTGGCTCAAAACGTAGATAGACATCTCCTCAGATAGAATGGACCGTCTTAATCCCCTGTTGACATACCATAGACTCATAGATTACAGGTTTTTTAGTAGCACTCGGTAATATTTATAGTATGCTAAGTTAAGCGACAACTGCGTTATGACGCAAAGGTACATCGTAGAACTATGATTAAAATTGGTTTTTATTCGTCTAAGTAAGCAGGAAAAAATGAGCCGTCACTTGATTATGTAGGTCTAATGTATCAATTGATTACAAACTATAGCGTGACACAGATTTTTGTGGAATTCCAGCAGTCCAGGGTGGATGCCACTAATAAAGGCTACGGGTATGTCAACAGGGGATTAGGACAGCCCATTCTACCTGAGGGGGTGTCTCTCTACGTTTTGAGCCAACTATAACTCTCAAGTTCAATCGGAACCAGATGACCAGGCTGCCCTCAAAAATACATATTTGTTTGCGATTGAGTTTTTCACTGTCAAAAATCTACATTTCTTTATTTTCCGGCCATATTGTAAACACAAAAAATAATATCTACCTCAGATTGGTCAGTTCTAACCCATTCCCGCACTTAACCTTTACTCATTGCTTCATTGCTTTAAAGGCAATAGCTTTCAGTCACCTGGCGATGAATGTCCGCATCCCAGATGTTTCTTGTAGGCCTAATAAAAAAAAAAAATGTATCACTGATCTCATCTCGCACACAGTGGGAGGTTCAATAATTCAACACATTTTTTAAAACACTCCAAGCGAAGCCTACATGTTAGCTACATAGCTGCGAATCATGTAATTCTGAGTTCACAATATTTGATGAAAGTAAGAAACGAGAAGCTTTGTTGCGGCGAATTACGGAGCTACGTACATGCAAAAACGGCCCCTACATAAAAAACAAACCTTGTAATTATAGAGCAGTCAGCTCCATTCACTCTTGGATTGAAATACCTGGATTCGTATGGTCGCGATTTCAGATTAAAGTACCAAGTACCTAAGCCTTCATGTTGTGAATAGCTGCTAAATTGTGCAGCCAAGGGTCCAACGCCGAGTTAGCCGGACATGAGGGAGTCTAGTACAGCATAGTTTACTGAAATATGCGTACAGATCAGGCCCATATATAGACCAGGTACCTGAGGCAGGGAAAAGAAGTAAGTTTAAAATTCATCAATGCCCCACACGTTCAACAAATTATTTGCAGTACAGTATACAATGCATGGGCTATGCCTTTATGAAAGATCACTACTATTTAAGAGTCTAAGGCTTCACAATGGTCTAAAATACCTGCTTATTTTAAGGTTACCAATGATATGGAAAAGAAAGAAATCAAACCATTCCTTATAAAAAAGAAATTACTATAGACCTACACAATAGAAGGGTGTCTAAATTACCCCCTTCAAAAAATTTTGGAAAAGTGACTGTTTTAATTTTTACTTCTTAGCTACCATACTCGTACTGTAAGAAATTACAATGTCATCTGTTTCACTAGCTTTGCTGTTTCACGACAATAAACTGATATTATTGTTTAAGAATTGGGTAGGCCGTAGTTTTATATTATTCGGCAAGGAGGAGGATGCGACAATAATAAGTTAACAGTATAGAGAGGTTTTCCCGAGAGCTGTGTTGCTAGATTTAGATAGAATGCCGAAGTGGTTGTAGATGGGAATTTGACATGTGACGGAGGACAGAGGAGTCTGAGGGTAATTTTAGAATATAAAAAAAAACTTTCATTTGAGTAGCTACAAAAGTATCAAGTAGGCCTACTACTGGTACATGGGTAGTTAAATTAATGTGATAAGGGGTAGCCTATAGGCCTACTACCTATAGCCTAGATATACTTTAACGGTTATTGTTTTTGTTCCAAAATACTATGCCTATCTCAGCAACTACATTTTAATATTACTTTAATATTTTTCATTTAAATGGCGACCATACACAGTAGGCCTTGGTATTTTAAGCCAAGTATGAATAGAGATGAGTGTAGGATGAGTGGCGCGATCTTGCAGTCTTGTTAGTGACTAAGGCATATTCCTTAAACACAGCTGTTAATTAATAGCCCATATAGCTAATGGCAACTAACTTAAGGGACCTACAGTTTATAGTGGAATCCGAACCACATTTTTACCTTGGTAAAAGAATTAGTCTAAAAAATTATCAGGATAGTACTGTGGATAGTCGTAAAACTCACTAGTGCAGACGCTAATCCATACTAGGGAGTATCGTATCCACAGTGCATGCCTATAAATATCCACAATTCCTGACCAGGATGACGCCACCGTCCCAGTCCTTATAACTTATTATTATTTTGATTTAGGACCGTACCTGAATATTGATTTAGATATTTATTTGTTTATTAGGTAGCCGAGTTGTGCAACACCATCATACAAATTTCAAGGTTTGATGCAAGTGGACAACCTAAGTTAAGCTCAACTTATCAAATTGCACATCAATTTTATCTAGGGTTAGTGACTAACGGCAAATTGTACAATGGATATTTGTGGAATCTTAGTAAGTTCTAGTTGAATTAAGTAAAGTCTCTCATAATAATTAGTTAGGTGACAATAAAAAGACCAGAATGGGCGATTACCACCAAGAGGGACCTGGGCTGTATGTTGAAGTGTAATAAGTTAGACGTAGATGGAGGATTTATAGTTTATACGATTAAGTTTACTCAAAGTCAAATATGCACCAAGCTAATACAAGTTACGGCTTTTAAAACATACCATTTTGTCGTTCTTTAAAGTACGAGATATTTTCCCCTGACGAAAGTGAGGTTAGGAAACACATAAACAACACACAGCTGACTCCAAATGAATTCATTATGTGTGTCTCTTTTAAAGGAACCTTAACACAAAATTATGCACATTCTTTAAAACCCTGTTCAAATTATGCTCAATCAGAACTAGTTTCATATCATTATCACATTATCACTGCACAATCACTAAACTCGACGGAATTTTAACGCCTCAACGATTATTGATTAGAAATCACAACTTGGCTTTGGGTCGTCTACATTCAGCTGATGAGTAAATGATTCTCTTTCTGGCCACTGGGAGCGCTCAGTGACAAAAATGGTAGTGTTGGATCAATGAAATTGTGATAGTGTAGTAAAAACTAGAATGGTGCACGTAAATTAAAATTGTGAATTAAATGATATTAATTGTAGGCCATGGGTAAGGATCAGGAGTTATTGGAAGCTGCACGTAATGGAAACACTCCGGTCGTGGAAAAAATTCTTAGCCAGCGAGCAAAAAGGAGTGGCCCTCTTGCAAGGTAGGCCTTAATCTTTACACGTCAAAATAATATTCCAGCTATTTTGTTTTGATTTATTTTTACAGTTTATTTGGGAATTTAATATTACTGACTAAAGGTTTGAAATTCAACATTTAGCTTTAATATCTATTTCGATTAGTTTATGAGGTTAAGGTTGAAATTAAGTTAATTTTATGAAACAGTTTTAAGATAGGCTAATGAGTTTTAATTTACTGTAGTCAAAATTTAACCAATAGATTGGTGTCCTTTTGAATATTCAACATCAAATTTTAATGATCAAATACAAGGTAGGCCTATTTGAAATATCAAACAATAACAAATATTCCTTCTGGAAGCGGCCACATAGGGTATACTTCCATATCTGTTGGCACACACAACCAAATGAAAATATCGATCGATATATCGATTGGTTAGTTAGGTAAGGTTAACCAAACCAAACGATATATGGAATTAAACAATCGAATAATCAATATTACTCATTCGGTTGTTTGTGCCAACAGATAAGGAAGTGTACCCGCCACATTAGTTACAAAACAGAAACCTTTTAACCATATAGAACACTCCAGCCTCTACCCCAATATCAATGGTGTTCAAGGTTTAAATTAAATGTTATTTGTAATACTAGTTGCATGTCACCACAATATTTTTACCAATGGTGTTATATGAAAACAACACACTTTTTTCTCTTGTGCTGAGTTAGTCAACTCTGTCAACACCACACCTCTGATTAAGTTGAGTGTTCAACCCCTGAATCAACCTTTACCGTAGCTCTAAAGCCGCGTTTCCATGAGGCAAGTAGGCAGGCAGGTGGTTACCTGCCTCTAGCGTATTTCAAGTTACCTGAGGCAGGTAAGTTAACCTGCCTGCCAACTGACATCGTGTAAGTTTACGTTTTTTGATCGATTAAATATGGGCACTAACACACTTTTTTTCTCTTGTGCTGAGTTAGTCAACTGTCAACACCACACCCCTGATTAAGTTAAGTGTTCAACCCCTGAATCAACCTTTACCGTAGCTCTAAAGCCGCGTTTCCATGAGGCAAGTAGGCAGGCAGGTGGTTACCTGCCTCTAGCGTATTTCAAGTTACCTGAGGCCTAGGTATAAGTTAACCTGCCTACGAACTGACTTCGTGTAAGTTTACGTTTTTTGATCGATTAAATATGGGCACTAACACACCAAATCACAAACAGCTGGTATTGTTCTTAACAATCTAAATAAGCAATGTACGGCTATATATTTTAAATTGGTTTAAATAATCTGATTCTGCGTAATGTTTCTTGTGATGCTAAAGTAGTTTGAACTTGATAGGACACAATCTTCAGACGTTGAAAGATGTTATCATTTTGCTTCATCAGAAAATTGAATTCACATTTAACTTATAAAGAGACACACACAAACATGCAAGTCGCAGACATTAAAAATCATAAAACGGTAGGCCTACTATGAAAACAATAAAATGAAACTAACAATGGTATCGGGGGATGATGTGACACAACTTGATGGATGAAAAGTCAGATGCATACGTGTTAAATGTACTTTAAGCCTAACTATGGGAATCGACAACCTTATGAGAAAGTGAATGAAATGAAATGAAATGCTTTATTGTCCATTAGGCATGAAATGCAATAGGCATCGTCAGAACAAATAACAATATACAATTTTCATAAAAATTAGAACTAAAATGCAAAAATCACACAGCAAACAAAACCAAAAACAAACCATGCACAAAACTACTGTCAAGACAAAACAAAACAATCTGTTACTTACGTACATAGGAAAAACTCTCTCACAGTCTCCTTGGGAATGTCGAAGAAATCGCTGGTTTTATAGAGTGGGAAAGCCAATAAAAGTGCCCGGAGATTGTTTTTGAATTTTCTGTTGGTTTGGTTCCAAGCTGTACAAGAAATGTGGTTAAGAAGCCTTATGCTTAACTGACTGGAATTTCTTTTTGTTTTGCTTAACCTAACATAAGGTACATCAATATTGTTCTTATTTCTGGTATTGTACATATGATAATCACCCCTACGACTAAGTGACTGGAGATCATTTTTTACATGCACAACTGAAACAAAAACATACAAACTACATACAGTCATGATTTCCTCATTTACAAAGAGAGGTCTGCAAGGGGCATCATACTCAGCGTTTGCTAGGATTCTTACAGCTCTTTTTTGTATTAGCAATACCTCATTAATTTCAGCAGACCCACCCCAGAGTCTGAGTCCATACCTACAAAAGAACTCCTTGAAAAAAGCTACATAGGCTTTTTTTAAACAGTTTTTATTTAGACAACTATTTAGGCTTCTCAAAAGGAAGATAACTCTGGAAAGTTTACTGCAAACCAAGGTTATATGAGGGCTCCAAGTCAGTTTTGTATCAATGCAAATACCCAGGAGCTTAACAGAGGTCACATCTTGTTTAATGTTTTTCAGCGTAAAGACCAAAGATTGTGTTTTGGTTTCATTGAGAGACAAAAAGTGTTTATGATAGAGCGTTCAACGCGTGAAGATGAGTTCATGACAAGTCAAAAATAGTTATGTGGTACAAGCAACATTTGGATAAGTCCTGGCGATTGCCACTATATTTTTATCAACAGTTCCCTCTTGCAGCCTACTGTACCAGCTCACCGTAATTGCTAGATATGTTCCAAGCACAGACCCGGGGCCTCCTGGATAGGCAAATGCAAGGTTGGAAGAGGCTGCTTTTATTTTTACTTCTTAAAAAAGCTTAAGATGGGCTTAATCACCTGGTTAAAATCCATTGGTGACTGTCAGGATTTTAAACTACCATAGGTCTTCATGACAGGAGTTTGTTTATCTAATTACATAGAAAGTCATTTCGTATTAACATTAGTAGGTAGCCTAATATCTTGGCTACTTTACTATTTATTGTTGAAATATGTGTTACAGTACTCATGTTTCATGCTGATAGCTTAGGCGAGCAAACTCCAGTAGGAAATAAAGATACGAGTTGTAGATCAATTAACTTGTTTTATAGAGTTATAGAGATATAGAGATATTGTTTCTCGTACTGGTGGGAAACCTTAATGTTGAAGTTCAGGTGCAAAGAAAGTTCTCGTTTACAAAGTCAATCAAGTCTACAAAGTCAAGGCAATCAGATCGGCACCTCTCACTCCACTGTCATATCACCTTATAATACTTAATGGATTCAGATAGTTACTTTGTTCTAATAGGAATATAGTAGTGATATCATGATCTTTGATGCCATTATATTCTCTCACACTCTCAAATAGAATGGCCACCTTTCTTCATAGTTACTTAAAAAAAAAAACACCTTTCATTGCCACCATCACATTCTAGTACGTTCAATCCTGGAAATGTTTTCACATTATTTCACTAGTAGATAAAATCCATTGGTAATGAACGGGATATGAACCTTGGACTTCAGGGACCAAAATTCCACACTCTAGCACCATAATATTGACAAGCTCGTTCCCAAAGATTGACTTTGATTTATTAATGTTTACCTACAGTCTTGTGATTTTCTGAAACATCATATCATTACCATGTTAACTGGAGTTGCTTTAAGGTCGTGACTGAACATGTGCAAGACGATTAGATCACCACCTTTCGACCTTTTCTTCTTTAGATCACTATGATCTTTGATTGTGCCACTTTGTCACCTTACCTTTGAATATGTTGCTCCAGTCTGACTAAAAATTGTTAGTAAGCTGTGAGAAGAAACAGATATTGGAGCAATGAAAACAGTAAGTGGTGTGTTAACGCATATTATCATCCCTGTTTCTCTGTGTAAAATCAAATATAACTTCCCTTTGAGATCAGCTGTAAGAGATGAAAGAATATTTTGCTGGCTCACAACTTACCAATTTTTTATGACCTCCCTGATAGAGATCACCATTACCCGGCATTTGCCTTTGAAAACTGTTTGCGAGATGATACAGAATCAATTCTCGTTCAATACAACTTTGTCTGTGTTTTTGGATTAAATTTGCATAGGGGCATTTAACATGGAGTTAGCAAGTTCTAAAGTTAGCCAATTCCTCATACCCTTTGATATATGTTTAACGACAGGCGAGACCTTAGCTCCTAATCCAACAGCTGCAGTAGGTGGCATCTTTGACTATTGATACAACTAGACATTATATACCCATGTTACAGATGTCGCCAGTTTTAAATGAACAGTTTTGCACTGATGTAAATTACTGATTCCTGTCAAATACACAAACTTTTTAACCAAATCATACTGAACGACTCATTGTAAGCTGTAGCAGCCGTTATGACTTATCAACCATCTTAAAATCAGATCATAAAATTTAGGCGGGTTTAGGGGAAGAAATACATCCCCTCCACACCTTGATTATACCATTTAAACATAGCTCAACAGCTGAGATTTGTCAAAACATTAATCAGCTGCCACATACATAAGTCAGAAAAAAGTGGTGGGGAATTGGCTCTCAAACCGCCCAAATATTGGGAATGGAGTATAGTAACAGAAAATAAGGGAATAATAGAATTTGAGACATTTGTACATTCAGTGGCTGGCTCTTTCAACTACCTAAGTTATTTTTATAAAAAATAAAAAAAAGCTGGTACATAAAGATGAATGTCTACTTCAGTATCCAAAAATCAACGGGGACATGTTTGTAAGATAACTTAACAACCCAGAATCCATCGCGAACTTATATGAGGTTAGTGCGGCCTTTGTTGATCACAAATTATTTTAATTGGCACCCGCCACTAGTTCGCTGATAGCCTTAATTACGGTTGGCAAATAATATCATAATTCAGTAATCACCAACTAGCTTTTTGTGTAAGGTCAGCCCTTTTTTGAATGCTCCAAAAAGGATTTGAACATTTACCACATTGCCATCTAACGTTCCCTTATCAAAATCATCAGCTTCCCTAAAGATATAAAGAGAACAAGTAGTTCACAGCCTACAGTGCCTTACTATCTAGTCAAACAGGTCAGCAACACACGACCTAGTCAGCAGTCAGCTGTGTTTATTGTTGTGGCACAAG